ATATATATATATATATATATATATATATATATATATATATATATATATTTGTTAAGTAACGGGGTATTCAATCGACTAGAGCCCAGCATCAGAAGGGCGAACCAAAAACAAAAGCCTTGGCTTGTTTTGAAGGGTTTTGCCATTTGTTCACCGCCGGCAGGAAGAGCGATGGAGGTGGAGGGGGACGAATCACAGCAGCACGTTGTACAAGCTCGTCATATAAAAAAAAGAGCTCTCAAGAACAAAGCCCTTTCTGTTTCCTTCAGTGAAAAGGATCTCAGGTAATCTTTCATCCGCTCATCAATAAACCCTTCTGTGATCGAAATCACTCCCCCTTAGACCCAGAAAATCAAAATGGGTTAGTTTCCGAATTCGAAATTGATACGGGTTTATGGAAATTTCTAGGAATTGCATTTTTTATATCTCGTGAAATGCTTTGCCGATAACATTTAGCCGGTGTTTATTTTGAACAACATCCTTATCAATTTTCTAGTTTGAAAGTGTTAAGTTTGACGGGAAATAGAATCAAAGGGGTCTCTGTCTTATAAATTGAAGGAGTATATTAAAAAGACTGTGAATCTGTTCATGTAGCTTTGAGTTACATTTTATAGTTATCAAAATTTGTTTTTATCCCATTTGACTGAAATAGTCAAAGTGTGCGTATATACTCTGTGTTTCACTCTGGGTTGAGACTGTTGCATTGGCAGATTTGATTTCTGGATAATTTGTTATGTCATCTTCAATGTGCTAAACTTCATGTTTTCCAAACACATTTACACACGTTTAGTGTGTGTCGCTTTCTATGTGTATAGTTTTGTATGAAATTCATTCAGTGTATTTATCTGTGTGATATGATTTGATGTGCCTCAGCAAGATCTGCATTCTGGGTGATATACATTTTAGGTGATGAGTTCAAGTGTCTTGCAAAAGCCAACTATGTAACTATGTGTGAAACTTCCGGTTATATTTGATATGTACATGATAAATTTGAGGCTTTGCAGAAAATTTGCATTATGGGTAATCTATCTATGTGAACTATGTGTAGAGCTTTGACTTAAAATTTTGATCTGATGAAAAACATTTTTTTAGGCGTTTTGGAAAGTTTGCAGGTTTTATGATCTTTTTGATGTGCTAAGTTCAAGTGCTTCACCAATAGATACTGAATGTTCGTCTTAAGCGTAGTGAATGTTTTTGGGTGTTAACCACTTGGGTGGTGGTAGGTTGGTTGAGGCCCATGGAGATGAGGATGACATCCCATCTTCCCGGGTTCAATTCCATCGCCCTGCGCTTGTGGCCACCGCAGTCTGCAGGGCGCATGCTTTAGCGTCGGGGGTTTGCCGGGTTGGGCAAAATGTCTACACCCTCCCCAATGTTAGTGGGTGTAATTGTTGTTGGATGACAAAAAATTGTAGCAGCGTGTTGCTGTTTTGAGCCATCTATTTTGATTTGCTAAATAGATAACTTGAACCCTTATTCCCACCACATGGCATATCCATGGTATAATCAAGGGGCTTTTGGCCTGAGTTATTTAGATCATTTAAAATTTTCATATTATTGTCCTATTTTATATGGTCCTAAAAGAAGTGAAGATCCGATTCAGGGTGAGGAAAAACAAAGATGAGTCTGACGAAAATATTATAAATGAGTAAAGTAGAGTCATATGTGAATGATGTACCAAGATGGAGTTTTAGTGTGTTGTTATTCTTACGAACAAACTCGCACTATATAGAGATTCTGGGTTCAAAATATTACGCTGACCGTTCTTAAATACTTGCAAGTTTGACTCTGTAGATAGGTTAGTAGAAGTCTTTATCCATAGCCAAATGTCTTAAAACACATTTTTATGATGACGCTATAGAAATAGGAATGAGTCTTTATTCTAAATTGAAAAGCTCAAGATCATTGGTCCTTCCACAAGCTTGGAGCAATTTATGTATATATGACCCTAAACAAATTGGGTTCAAATTGTTGTGTCATATTTGCCTCCGCCATCTTTAATTATTAATCGGGTGTATAGTGATTTTGTGACTGGCTTTCACAAGAGAAAGAAAAAGAGGAGAAAAGAAGCACAGAATCAACAACAGGAAGCTCTACGGCGCAAGCGTATTGAGCTGCGCAAAAAGGTACCGCCTTCATGTCTTTTTTTGCTATATGGAAGGTGGTATGTGCTTCATATATGGTATTTATTTTGGTATGTGGTATCCTGCTACCTGTTTTCTCACACTCTTACACAAGCTGGGGTCTTCACGGATGCAACTGCTTCAAATCTTGCTACATCTCAGACCTCCCAGACCCTACATCTGAGTGAGATTTAGTGGGTTCATTTGGTTTGGTTTTTTTGGTATATGGTATTAACACCTTGGGCACCTCTAATGGTTCATGCAAAAGCGTCCCCTCCGAGGAGAACTTCCTCTCTTCTTGGGGGAAGGACGTGATCCATTCATAAGTGTTCCTCCATGGTATGAAGTTGGCTTTCCTCAACAGCTTGGAGTGTTAAGCACCATTGAAAGCCAAATTGAAGCCATTGCTTCAAATATATAATATGTATGTCTGCATGCATATAGATATAGATTGATAGGAGGTTAGATGGGAGAGAAAAGAAACTAAAGTAATAGGAATGGAAAAGTGTATTTGAATTTTAAAGTTGACGAATATAGATTATTTATGTCTAACTGTGGTGGTTCAGTAGCTCCAAACAACTAGAATCATGAACAATTGTCTTTTCCGATACAACACTCTAAAAAACATTCGTTCGATGCACAATGGTTAATACAACCCCTTTAGTAGGCCTTAACAATTTGCTAGTGTTTATATTATTAGCCTAATAATCATGAAAAAAGATTGATGCATTTTCATTACAAAGTCTTTAATACCAAAGGCTGTATAAAATGAAAGAGACAAGTTTCTAACCTATGCATGAATTATTAAGGATTTGCATATTTGAAATTAATCAATTAATGGACATATGCCATAACACCAAATTGTTAGGATCAGCAATCATGGTCACACAGAAACACTAGTAATTTGCAGGTAAAAATTGAAGACACAGAATCTATGTCGTTTGTCAAAAATGGTTCACATAGTCTTGGATCCTTGTATCCTATTTGTCTAGAACTTTAAGCATTTTTATTTTATGGGTTCTATTTGTATATTGTGAGAATAAATGAAGATAGCTAAAACGGGACCCATGAAATGGAGAAGGGAATAAAATGATATAAACGATCCTTAACTTCCTTCCTTTTCATTTGCTCCTTTTTTGGCAGAGAAAACTAGAAAGGGAGTATGTTCTATATGGTGGAGCTGCACCTAATCCAGATGCAGAATCTAATGAAAATGATGAAGTCAAGGAAGCAGAAGGCAAAGAAGAAGAAGTCGAGGAGGAGGAGGAGCATCTGACATCGGTTTCTGGTACGCGCACATGTGTTTGTGAGTGATGTTCTGAAACTTTCAAGATTTTCTTGAAGGTTTCAAGTTAACGAGGACATGCTACTTGACGACTTACGAAGCTAATTATGAATCTTATGGACATTGAAATTGTTTGACTATTAGCCAAATTCTCTAAAATCGTTCAATAAATCAATCTTATGGAGAAAAGTCAGTTTCATCAATAAGTAGTAATGATGACAAAGAACAAAACTTGTTATTCTACCAAAAAAGAGAATGCAGCAATTTTCGTGATAAATCCCAAAATGGAAAATGTTGCAATTTTTATGGGGAAAAGGAGCGTTTGTAAATCTTATAGTTGCTTCTGCTATGATTCCCCCAATGAAAGCATATATAAGTTTCGAGGTGTCTTTTCGCAACTTCCTTTGTGATGATTTCGTGTTCAGGGGCAAAATTGTCATTTTATTTGGGTCATGATCAGCTAGAGCTGGCGGAAGCGGGTTTGTAAACATATCACCTATTACATATTATTTCAGCTTATTCTGACTTCCCTTCCATTGACTATAGGAACACAAGTGTATGAAACCGGTAGTGTGAAGGTCATGGTGACAACAAGTGAGATCTCTCGTGAAGACGACTCCCTGAATGGAAACCTGAGGGCTGCAGAAATACCCAAATTGACCCCAGCATCCGAAAAGAAGCTCAATTTGCCTGTGATCAAGAAGAAGCCATTCAAGAAAGTTGAGAAAAGAAGATCGCGACCAAAGACTCAAACCAAAAGAGATAAAAGGAAGGGCAAGAACAAGAACGAAACAAGGCGCTAGTAATTTGGAATACCCTCTTTTCTTTTGCAAAATTTTGTGAAAATTGTGTCATTTGTAGCCCTGTTTCCTGAAAGTGGTTGAAATACTTTGCCAAGATGTGGATTCTTTTGCAATGGCTTATGTTAAATTCATAGCAACAGATAACAGAAAGGGACTCCAATTTTCTTGCATTTTGTGCAATAATAGACATGTACTTTATGCATTAAAGATTGTGTGGAGTTGTCATTATACACCTGACTACCTGAGTACAGTTTAAAGCCCAGATGCTTGATGTGGCTTCTTTTTATGTCAAAATCCATAGCAATAAATTCCAAAAGGTACAAGCATCGATGCATGTTGTACAGTATGTGAAGTCGGTGTTTGTGGTAGGCTTCTTTTGCAACTGGTTTTGTCAATTGTCAATGGATTACAAAAGTTACCACTTTTTTGGGTGTTGTGTTATAGGAGTGTGTACCTTGTGCATTAGTGATTGTACATTGCAATTTGATCAGATTCAGTGGACTGCAATATCAGTCAAAAAAGGTCAATGGACCATATCCAGCCAGAAGCTGTTCATTAATACTGATGGGGCCAGGTAGATACATTGAATGTGTATACTCGTAGTTTGGAGTAACTTACATGTTAACCCCTCTTGTTTAGTTTTTGTTCATTTTGCAGTACCTCCTTTTGACCTACAAAATGGGCCTGGAATCTATTTGACTCTTTATGGGAGTAAGCATTTAACAATGCAACAACTTTAAGGGTATGAAAAAGACATCCATCAAGATTTAACATGTTCAAATATTTTGATTTAAACTCCTTAGGATAGTTTAACCGGTAATACTTGGAATTTTGCTCATCAGAATTTAGAGGTTACTGGTTCAAGTCCTGTTAGGACCACCAAACGGTTAGTATGGACTGATAACTTTAAGATCCTATAAGATTAGTCAAGGTACAAACAAGTTGACTTAAACACTAACAATTATAAAGAAAAGATCCATAAAAAATTTAACATGTTGAAAGTATTTGAATTTATAACTTACAAATGCATCAACATATACAAATACAAAAGGGCATGCATACTATTTGAATCATTCCTTACAAAAATTGTGGTCAACACTTTGACACAAAGGGGTATGTAGATGGTGATAATGATATGATCAGAACTACAAGGAGATGTTTATAAAACTTTATAAATCCTAGTGGGTAGATATGCAATTTATTCAGCCACCACAATGGAAGTCCCCTTTATCTGTTAGTGGAATAAAAATTAAAGAGACTAAAAGGAAAGTTCCCAGATTCTAACTTGAATTTTCTTGGTAATTTCTCCAGAAAAGGCGTAAAATTTGCTTTTAATTTTCCCGCTTTCTTGTTCTTTAATCTTTTTTATCTTTCAATTGGACTCCCTTTTGAGTGCTAAAGAATCCCTCTTCTATTTTCAATTTCTAGTGTGTTTTTCAGTGAATATCAATTAGGGTTAGATCGGATCTGAAGAGGGGTTCGTGTGTTTGAGCAGAGAAAATGCAAAGAAAGTTCATGGAGAAAAGGGGATTAGATCCCAGTGGTAGTGAAGAAGGTCAACCTGATAAGAAAAGACCAGCTCTTGCTAGGTATTTTCTTTAATTCTTTAATGTTTTTTTTTTTTTTTTGTGATTTTAGCAAATTGTTTCTACATATATGAAGCGACTCTGTTATCATCATTTTCTCTGGCAACAAATCATGTTATTGTTCAACTATTCTACTGATTTGAATCTGATTCAGTAATGTTTAGGTAGAGTAGATTTTGTTTGTTGTTAGTTTTAGGAAATCAATGTTGGTTATGCAACTATTGAGCTGGCTTTGCTTCAAATCTTCTATGATATCAAGTGTTCAATAAGTCAACGCCAACCACCACTATTACAATCAAACTTGCAGTTTTTTTTCTTTCTTTCTTTTATGAGATAGATTTAGCTACCAAGAGAAACCAAGCCAAATGTACCCGGTATATCCTACTCAAAAGTAGGGTATAGGATTCTATTAAGGGGTAGAGGCTGTTTTGTGCTGCTATGATTATGAGGAGAGATTACAAGTATTGCATCAAATGTTCTTTTTCTATGTATATGATAAGTTTGAGGTAATATTGATGGTAGCTCCAGGTTTCTTCTTTTGACTTTTAGGTGAGACATTTATGATTAATTATGGAATAATTAACTTTTTAAGTGATTACCATTTCAATCACCAATGATGGAAAGGACAAATCTGGTTAACAGAAAATAGCAAAAAATATTCTAGTTGACGGAAATCACCAAAGATAACACTCTAGCTTGCTGGTTGGAGTGGTTGGTTTGCACCATCCTCTTTTGCTATTTATTCTATTTCATTAGGGAAACTTTCTTATTTTGTAGACTTCTCACAAGCCGGGGGTCTTCACGAAAACAACCATTCTACTCTTTGATGGTAGATTGTAGAGGTCAGGTCTGCATGCATCCCATATCCCCCCACCCCACAAAAAAAAAAGGCCCCACTGCCAGGTGGGATAAACTGGGCTCATTTGGTTTGGTAATTGGTTTGCAATTTCTATGGGGTGCTTTTTTCAAACATCTTTGTTGGTATCTTGGTTTTTTAGAGACAAAATACCAATCGCTCTTGAATCCCAAAGCAAAGTGGTGACCCCCAGGGTTCGGATATTAGTTGTTAATTTGATTTATTTACCGAACCGTGTTAGAAAGCTTTCCAACCCTCGCGAAGCTAAGGATTCTTGGTGTACCAGCGTCGCCCTCTTATGGTATACATTGGGTAAAGTACGATAATAAGCATATATAAATAATTAACGGAACCACATTCTCAAAAATTCAATATTCATTTGATGATATAAGATTGGCAATATTGCAAATGCACAGGCCATATAATGAGTAAAGCTTGAGCTTATATTTGTAAAAATGCAGTTTTTTTCAGTTGGTGTAGCCTCTTTTGAATATTTATAGCATCATTTGTGTAAACCTGTTTTGAAAGGAACATTTTTTATGTAGTGTAATTGTTGAAGCTCTCAAGGTGGATAGTTTGCAGAAACTTTGTTCGTCGTTGGAGCCTATTCTTCGAAGAGTTGTAAGATGTTTAATCCCTGATGAAGTATTATAAATTTTTGGACTGGGTATTGTCTTCTATTTTGTTTGATCTTTGTTAGTTATATCTTATGAGTTATGATTAGTCAAACAACCAAGTGATTGACTTTGAAATCTATATTTTTTAACGATATATTCTTGTAAAAAGCTAAAAAAGGGATTCAAAATTTCAAATGGATCCATGTGTATTTACCTAAATAATTGTATATTTACCTTCTATCTTGTGAAAATTGCAATAAATTGATTCTACTTGCATATATACCAAACTGACTCGGTTAATCCCACACAGAGGTAGGGTCTGGGGAGGATAAGATGTACGCAAACCTTACCTTTGCCCCAAGGATTAGATAGGATGTTACCGTGATTATTCTACTTGCATACGTCTGAAATGCCCTTCCATCAAAGAAAGTGATTGAAACCAACTTATAGTTTTCATAATGAAGGAAATCTTGCAGGATTATCCCTATTGTGACTTTTGCAATGATGACTTGCGCACAACTAAGTATTTAAGCTTAATTTTCTTTTACTAAAAAATAATGCACCACGATCAATATGAAACATCCTGAAGTATTGGTGCACTTCTTGAAGAAGGTAAGAAATAAAAGAAAAACCACTGAACTTGTTGGAATATTTGTTGATTAATATTAATATAAGCATTCATTTGGGATATAACTTGTGAGTAAGCTGTTGCAAACAATGCTATCAATCGATTGTAAATTACTAATTGCAGCATTTGGCTTTTTGACTGAATAGGTTAGTGAAGAAGTGGAGCGCGCCTTGGCAAAGCTGGGACCATCGAAACTTAATGGAAGGCACGACATTTCTAGTTACTTAAACACACTCCCTCTGTCCTACTAAAATTGCAACATTTTCCATTTTGGGACGTCCCATGATGCGTCTTTTATTCTTTTGGTTGTTTTCAAGCTAAATACTTATTTGTTCATTGCCATCATGATAAGTTATTGAAGCTATTGATTTTGATCCATGACTTTTCTTTATTTTGTCATCATTGGTAACTTAGACATTTCATCTTGCCTTTTGGTTTGTCATGTTTTTGGTTTTTACCGAGCTTTTTGGCAATGGCAGCATCAAGTTTACTCTCCCTCTCGGTGTAATTGCTATCTTTGTATTGTTTGTTACTTTGTGCTTGCGTATTACCAAATTTCCTTGGTGTTTTACTCCTTCCATCACGTGAAATTTGCAACAGTTTCTATTTTGGGATGTTTTGTGAAACTTGCAACGTTTCCTTTTTTTCTTTTTCTATAAAGTTTCTTTGTCAAAAATGTCTATTTGGACCAATATGGTTTATTCATTTGTCTTGGCTGAAAACTATCTTAGATTTTTGACAAATACTCGAACATTTACCTTAACAAATGTCGAAGCTTTCATGGGACAGAGGAAGTAATAACTTTTGTTGTATTGTTTGTTATTCTTTGCTTATGGATTAAAGAATTCATTTTGATTTTTTGTTTTACTATCTTTGGCACATGAAAATTGCATATTTGACCATTTTATTGTTAGAATTAAGTTGATACATTGATTTGGGCCCACAAGATTGACGGATATTTTACATATTTGATAAATAATCCAAAAAATTCCTTATGTGCTCGTTCAAAGACTAAAATTTTCATGAGACAGAGTGAGTATTTTTATTTGCTAAAGCTTTATGTAATCTGAACAGGATTTCTCCTAAGCGAATAGAAGGTCCTGATGGAAGAGACTTGCAGCTACGATTCCGGTCCAAATTGTCGCTCCCTCTTTTTACAGGAGGAAAAGTAGAAGGGGAGAGAGGTGCCGCAATACACGTCGTGTTGATCGATGCCAACACGGGTCATGTTGTAACATCCGGTCCGGAATCCTCCGTAAAACTAGATGTGGTTGTTCTTGAAGGTGATTTCAATAATGAGGATGAAGAAGGATGGACTCAAGAAGAATTTGAAACTCACATGGTTAAAGAACGAGAAGGAAAACGACCACTTCTCTCTGGAGAGTTACAAGTGACATTGAAGGAAGGTGTCGGGACTTTAGGCGAGTTGACCTTTACTGACAACTCTAGTTGGATCCGTAGTAGGAAGTTCAGACTCGGGCTTAAGGTTGCCTCGGGATACAGTGAAGGGGTTCACGTTCGTGAGGCAAAAACAGATGCCTTCACCGTCAAAGACCACCGAGGAGAGCGTGAGTTTTTTTGTTTAATGCTATTATTATTGGATAAAAGAATGGAAACAACCAACCACTTTACTGTTTTTAGGTAGAGGATAAGTTTGCTTACTTCTCACCCCCTAAACCATACTTTTGAGTGGGATTTACTGGGTCAGTTTGGTTTGTTTTTTGGATGAAAGAATGACATTATCAATGCATAAAGACGTGTACTTTTGGTTTTCAGTGTACAAAAAACATTATCCGCCTGCTCTAAACGACGAGGTTTGGAGGTTGGAGAAGATTGGCAAAGATGGATCTTTTCACAAGAAGCTTAACAAAGCAGGCATATATAGTGTTGAAGATTTTCTTCGCCTCGTGGTGAGAGATCCAAAAAAGCTACGAAATGTAAGATTCATATCTATACTTTCTTAGCATACTGAACCATTTTGCTTGATACTTTGTTTCTAAATAACCAATATATTTGCAAGCCATGGGTCTTCATAGAAACATCCTCTCTAGCCCTATGGGTAGAGGCACCCGGGTGGATCCTGCCTCTGTGTGGGATATACGGGGATTGTCTGTTTGATTTGGTTTTCAATATACTCGTGGAAATGCAAAATTAGAAAACTCTAGTTGGTAATTGAAGGTAAGTGGTTGAAACTTTTTGTAGGTACTGGGGAGTGGCATGTCAAATAAGATGTGGGATGTTCTTGTGGAGCATGCAAAGACTTGTATATTGAGTCACAAACTTTATGTTTACTATTCGGATGATGTGCGAAATGTTGGTGTTGTTTTCAACCACATCTATGAATTAAGCGGTTTAGTTGCCGATGGACATTACTACTCAACAGATGCCCTTTCTGATAATCAAAAGGTTAGTGGTTCGCAACCACTCTGTTCCAAATTCACGCTTTACTTATACGAATTCTCTATTTTGTAGCAAGTGTTGTAGCATAGATATTTTATATGTTTTACCTACTAGAAGGCGAAGGATCATGTGAGAAGGGGAGTTAAGGTGAGAAGTATAAGAACGGATCTAGACCCTTGACCACCTTTAATCTCAAACCCACCCATGAATCACGTTCGATACGAGGATTGGTCCGGTGCATCTCGATGCATCTCATCTTAATGTGCATCTAAGGGTGGAGATCCCTTCTTACGCTTCTCACCTTAACTCTCCTTCTCGCCGGAACCCAACCCCCTACTAGAAAGCAGAACAGTTGGAATATCTTTTTTAGTACTTCATCTTTTCTTTTTTGTTACTTTGCTTCATTCTAGATTTATCTGAAATCAATAACAAAAGCAAATGAACTCCTTATATCCTACTTGTGTGGGTAGGATGTACATTAACATATCCTATATCCCAAGGGGTAGACAGCCTATTTTCATGAAGACCCCCCGACTATAGTACCTAGTTTCTAGAATACCCTTCAATAATGACAAAAGATGGAAAATCTTGTGAATTAAAATTAATAGGATCGATGTTTTGTAATTTTAATGATGGACAAATAGGGAATTTTGTCATGCAAAGTTGCCAAATAAGGAAACATAGCCATTTTTATTGAACATCATAAAAAATGGAAATTGTTGCCATCCTTGTGGCATGTAGTGTACAATGTCATTATTGAGTGAAATATGGTAACACTTGTAGAAAGGGCTTTTTATGTCGATAAATTGCTCATAAAGTGAGATCTTGAGAGCCAAGCGAGACCTTTTTTGTATTATTGCTTGTAAGAGAAGAAAAAAAAGATGTTGACGGAACACAATTCTTTTTGATATTTGCAGGTGTTTGTAGATGCGCTGATGAAGAAGGCATACGAAAATTGGATGCATGTCGTAGAATATGATGGAAAATCATTTTTAGGGGCTCATCAAGAAAAAGTGGCTGCTCCACAAATTGATATGGGAATGAGCCAACAAAACTATTCAAACTCGTTTGATCATCAACTCAGTCTACCACCTCCAGCCCCTCGAGAACAACCTGCTTCAAACCAAGGCTTCACCATTGGAGGTAAATATGTTTATTTAGGTTTGCATGCAGCTTGCTTGTAGTCTAAGCAAGCACAAGTGAAGACTTGAAGTGAATTAGGGAAAGAATAAAATATAGGGCAAAATACATCAAAATGCAACTGTGTTTGGTTTAGTTCCTATTTAGTGTAAAGAAGAGGGTTTTTTTTTACTCAATCGACGTGACAAAGTTTCAAAATTTTCTATTTTTGTAACCATTTGACCGGTAATCTGCTGATTTTGTAACATTTAATGACATGGAGACCTATTTATGAAATATTTACAAAAGGGTTATGGCAAATGGGATGATAAGCTTGGGATTCACACTATCAAGTGTTACAAAATCAACTGGTTATCGGTCAAAATGGGTACAAAATAGGAAATTTTGGAACCAAGGCAAATTTTGTTATATTTGTCCTCAAATATAAGTAAAAGCAATCTGTAAATCACTCTCCAAAACCGTAGCATCTCTCATGTTTCACACGCAAGACATCTATTGTATACTATTAGTTAAATGTCTAAAATACCCTTGAGTAATGGGTGTTTGCGCTTCCTTCTGTAGGTTATGATAGTAATGTTACAACCAGATACCCTGCGGAATCACCGAACATGAATCTGAATGTACCTACTCAATTCGATGCAACTTCATTCACACTTCACAATCCCTTGATCAACGCTTCTCAACAGCCTCCTAGGAATGATAACAACATCCTGGCCCTTGGATTAACACAACCATCCACACCCAGTTTTCTTTCTGGCAACACCAACACCAACACCTTGAATTTGAGTGCTTCATTTAGAGGTCTCGAAGACTTCTTTCCTGAAGAAGAAATCCGTATGAGAAGCCACGAAATGCTTGAAAATGAGGATATGCAGCATTTGCTTCGCTTATTCAACATGGGCAGTGGTGGGGCCCATGGTCAAACCTCCACTAGTCATGTTAACGAAAATCACTACCCGTATTCATCGAATTATATGCCAAATACACCTTCGAGTTTTGGGTATGGATTTGATGTGGATAAAACTCGTTCTTCTGGGAAAGCGGTGGTCGGGTGGCTTAAACTTAAAGCGGCATTGAGATGGGGCATCTTTATAAGGAAACAAGCAGCTGAACGAAGGGCACAAATAGTTGAATTGGAAGACCCATAACTGCGATGATTTCATTTTAAGGTAACCCCATATTGTTTTTATCATTTCAAGGCTTCTTTGTTGCTTAAATATGAAAGATTCAAGTGGTATTCGGTTCAGATGAGACATAAAGAAGCCTTGCTATCGTGTATAGTGCTAGAACTTTATCTGCAGCCGTTTCAAATGCGAAAAAAATCGGGTTTTCGGTTGTTTTGAGGCCAACAATCGGGCTTGGAAGTGTGGGAGTTGCGGGTTAGGAATGATGTTTGTTGTATGATAATTATCACAGGGTAAGTTTTATTAGCGATTCGTGCCAAACGTTGGCTTGATTTGACGAAGATCACCGAAGCCCGGAAAAGCCGAGCTTTTGGACCTGAGGGTCGGGTTTTAGTTATGTAGTGATTGGTTCGTTGTATCTTGTGAACGTTCTTATTGTGTTTGTGTTGGTTCAGATGTGACAGAACAACTTTTTGTTGTATGTTATGCTACAATTTCTAATGATAGTAACAACTTTTTGGTGTTTCTGTATGTATATGCTTGCACACTGTACCAGATCATAGGGATGTAAATTGTGTCCCAGATCAGGTGAGTGGTGTCTGGAGTTGAATCTAGACTTTCCACTTATCCCGTAAAGATGCGCGCGCACCTTCTTACCTGGTATTGGTAGGTTGTATGTACTTGTATGTGTTTGAGAGTTTCATGAACTACTTTGCTATCCTATGATTTCTCATAACAAAAAAAATCAGCTATTGTTTCATGAAGGCCCTATTTTGCCGAGACACGATATGTAAAAAAAATAAAAATTGAAGGTTGCTTGGATTTTGAAAAGACGTCGAATAGCACAAAGGCATGAAGAGAGAAAGTAGTCAAGTATGTGCAAAGGAGCAACAACAATTGTAAATAGTAACAGGTGTCATTTACCAAACGCTTACCCGGGTAACGCTTACCAAGTCACTTTACTTTACCTGATGAATATGACAAGAACTAAAAATCTTACCCGGTAAGAGCAAAGGCAAGAATCGAGAGCAGTAAGAGAGGACAAGGACTCTTACCATGATTAACGCTTACTGGGATAAATTGTTGCATACAAGCCTTCCTACAACTACTAATCCCTATAAAAATCTACTACTATAGGTCTCTGTAAGTCTGTCACGCTAATCTCGCATGGTCTTGCCCCTTCCCACAAAGCACAAGTAGATATCATATCTGTATATATTGCTATTCTTTGAAGTAGATGTCAAACCGATAACAAGTTGGTACCCTAACTGTTGGGTTCAAGTATGTGCGATAATGTTGTATCCAAGTTCTCCTTTTATATTGCTTTCTAATAGTTAGACATTTACTGTTTTCTTAGTATAAATAGGGATTAGCTTTCTAATTGTAATTAGTTTTGCAATTAATCTGATTTAGAGTTGTAATCATTTCTCTCAAGAAATACATTGAAGATTGGTGAAAATTCTCTCTGCTCATATTCTTGATCTTCATCTTGAAGATTATTTCTGAATTTGTATGATTTGGACATTTCAATTGGTATCATAGCAATCTGCAGCAATTTCTTTAGAGGATTAAACAATTTTATCGAGGATTTTGCACGATTTTTAGGGGATTTATCGATTTGTTCTTGGTGTTCGTCAATCTGTTCTTGGTGTTCTTCGTCCAGAATCGCAATTTTTGGCTTAAATCGCATAGATTTTGATCGTTAATTGATATAATTCATACTACCAAATTCACATTTACATTCTGAACAACTTTGATTCACATTATTTTTTATTTTAATCAAGATTTGAACCAGTTTTGATCGATTTTTGAGTTTTCGAAATTTGTGTGTGTTCTTCAAAAACTCATATTTTTGCAAGTTTTGATCCATTTTTTGGTGAAAAAGTGTTAAAAATTGTGTTTTTGCTTGAATCATAATTCGTATAACTCTTGATCGGTTTAAGTGTAAATTGCTTAAAGCTTATCCGATTTAAGTCTTGTGATTTTTTTGTGAATTGATTTTGTGCGATTTAGGTTAAACCGGGTAAGGCTTGTTCGATTTAGAGGTAAATCGCTTGGTACTTGTTCGATTTAGTGATCGATTTAATTTAATCCGTTTGGTAAATCGTTGAGTTGTTGTACGATTTGTTAATAATCCGGTTACTTCTTAAGCGGTTTAGTGAGCGATTTAGTCTCTTTGTTGTGCGATTTATTCATAATCCGGTTGTGACCTGAGCGATATTGTTGTGCGATTTAATTGTAGTATTGTGCGATTTAGTTTGTGCGATTTAATTGGACTGTTGTATGCGATTTATTTGATCGTATTTTGACTTTGTGAACGGATTGTTGATCGGATTTTGACTTTCCTTTGTGAGTGATTTAATTCATAGAGTGAGCGATTTAAAATTGTTTGAATATTTGAGCGATTTGATTTTGAGCGGATTTGTACGTATTTTGACTTGTTGACTTTGTTGACTTGACTTGTTGACTTTTTATGTCCGTATTTCATTTTCACAAATTTGACAAAATGTTTGAATCGTCCGATTTGGAATTTCTTAATTGTGTGAAAATTGACTAAGTGTTGAAATTCACCGGATTTCTCATCCGGATTTGTTGATTCATCGTGCGATTTAAATTCTTTTGTTGTCCGGATATCTAATCCGGATAACTTGTTTTAGTTGGAAATTCAAGACTATATGTTTTGTCCGGATTTCTAATCCGGATAAGTTTGTGTGTTTATATTTTCTAAGTCTTGAATGTGTGCAAATCCTTGTGTGCGATTTAATTGAAATTGTTGATCCTCTCTCTCATTGATTTGTTGATAATCCCTTTTTCCTTTCGATGTATTTATGTATCTGTAATTTCAGTTCCAGCGATCATACACTGAGCTTGTTCAGT